AAAAAAAAACTCAGCCAGGCCCGGTGGCTCATCCTGTAATCCCGGATGAGATTTGGGAGGCTGAGGTGAGTGGACTGTCTGAGCCCTCAGGTTCGAGACCCCCTGGGCAACTTGGCGAGACCTCACCTCTACAATAAATCAAAAATGAGCCGGGTGTGGTAGTGCACGCCTGTAGTTCCAGCTACTTGGAAGGCTGAGGCGGTAGGATCGCTGGAGCCCAGCAGGTCGAGGCTGCGGTGGCCGGGAGCAGCCACTGCACTCCAGTCTGGGCGACACAGTGAGACTCCAACTCAAAAAACAAAACAAAACAAAACAAAAAAACTCCATGATGTTCCTAATAACATACCCACCTGTGTTTGGAATATTTAAACTCTTCTGCACAAAATTCACACTGTGCTAGTAACTTGCTTTGGTGACTCTTCTCTGCTTTCCTTATTAACTTAGGCTCATACCAAAAGTTTCCTCAGTCGTTTATACCTGAGTACGCTGAGATTATTTTGCAATCTAGCTTTCCTTTAGAAAACTGTGATTTCAGGTAATACCACCAAATCTCAGGTTTCACTCTGAATTGAAGGGCTTCGAAACACTTCCTTTTGCAGTAAAGTTGTGTGTTTTCAAAAACATGTTTTAGCAGTAACTTTGGGTTACTGAACCCTAAAACTCACTTACTTGCCAGAACTCCAAGGTTCTGGGGTTGGCCCTGGGACTTTCTTATTGTGTGACTGTGGCTCTAGTGTCATCTATGAGTGGCAAGAAGAAGATTTATTTTAGGCTGGAAGCAATTTGAGAGGACCTATGGGGAATGAATGGGACTTTTTTACCTATAAGATTGATAATTTTTTTGTGGTATCTCACACCAAAAACAAATTTGGATACTGAATTCCAGATAGTTCCAAATGTAGCTTTAAGAAACCAAGGAAATGTCTATTTACAAATCTTCACAACACCATAAAGCATACTTTCTTTACGGTTATAGAATCACTTTGGGTTTAGCCTTTTTTTCAGCCTTCAGGAAAAAAAAGAGAACCACTTCATTCATGATTGCAAATCAAAGGGTGGGAACACACCTAGACACTGATAAAGGTGTTACCACCAGGCCTGTTCAGTAACAGCTGCAGAAATGATAGGAATGGACTCCTTATCTGAGGCTATGTCTGGCAATCTGGAATGAAGTTCAATATAGGTGATTTATAGGCCAATAACTGGACTGAAGCCAAAGGCTTGCTCTACCCCCTCCCACATACCCCTAACCCACATACATACGGTGTTAATTAGTGACAAGAGGCAGACAAGGTCCTAATCACTCCATGCAGACACCTGAGATAACCAATGAGTATTCTCATTCATTAATATAGAGAAAAGATTTTGTATTCAGGTGAGACATCTGGCACTTAAGATTCAATTCAGGAGCTACTGTCTGTGCAGACTGCAGTTACATACGTGACCTTAAATAAGTCACCTTTTTGTGCCTCAGTTTCATCATCTATAAAACAGAACCGAAGGGATTAAGAGAGAGGAGAATACTATATGAAAATACAGTAGATTATTTTACACCTACTGAAATTGGGGGAAGAAAAAGAATTAGAGATACTTATGTTTTTTCAAGGATCTGTAAAATATTTTGCTTAGTTCTACAAAACATATAGGAAACACTGGGCTACTTCTCTCAGACTATATTGTAATTAAAGGGGTTCATAATGTATCTTCAAGCAAAAGAAAATGGAGCTCTCTGATGGTATCAGTTTGATAACCGTAAGCAGTTCACAGTAAGGTAAGGAGGTACATTTTGGCGGAAGCCAACATTGCATTTGATGTATTCTTAACTCAGCTAACAGGCAGGCTTTCAAGCCATGTTATCTGCCCTCGCATCTTGACCTAATTTAACAAGTTGCCATGGGAGCCCAGTGAAGGTTGATGCAATTTTCTTATCTTTGGAGGAAGAATGTAACTGTGCAAGAGAATGTGAAAATTCAGTTTCTAACTGATTTCCACACGTATAGTGCAGCAACTAAGTCATCTTAGGAAGAAGTAAAATGTATTCCTTAGAAGGCGATAGGACAGAGACCAGGGTTCCTCGTATGAGGGCAGGAAGATGGATTTTTTTTCCCAGTTTGGAGAATCAAGCATACACTCTTAGTTCAGGCCAAGTAATAGTGACATAAAGCTATGAGTGCTCTAACTGTGTGGCCAACACATATGCTGGAGCAACAAAATCTTAAGGGAACAGACAGAAAAAAAGAGCAGAACGTGAGGCAGAAAATAAGTGTGACTTTTATGAGCAATAAAAAATATTGCCAACACTTATACAATGATTTCTACTTTCCAAAGTACTTTTCCAAATTTCAGCTCATCTCAACATGTCCACATAAAGGCAGACACTATATTATAGGCACTCTAGTGATAGCATCCAGTGGTGGCCAGGGCTGAATGAGTACGTTCTCCCTTCCCTAATCTCTGGGATGCATCTGAAAAGGGAAGGGGCCACACTGAGGGTGTTAGATCAGGAGGGTCGATATGTAGGACCAGTTTGCATTGCAGGCAGGAGGTGATCACCAGGCATCAAGAATAGGAAAAAAGCAACCAAAATTTGCCTGTTCCCTGCACACCTAACAAATCCCAACGTTCATTCAAACGACAACAATAAGAGAATCTGGTTCAAGTCTAAGGACATTTACAAGATCTTGAATTCGACAAGATAGTGAGCCCTCAAGGGCTACTTCTTATCTGCACTCAATATGTGCTCAGACATTTGTTGAAATAATTGAATTGCTACAATTAAGGGTTTTACCTCTATGTCTAGCACAATGTCTAGCACTTATTTGTTTAATTAATTGATTTAGTTCAATTACATTTTCACAGATCCCCTACCACCAAGATAAGGATGAACACTTCTACTAAAAGTAGAAAAGGGTACAGGGTGAATTTGCCTAAAATCACACAGTGTGTTAGAGGTGGGAGGGGTGGTACAAAGGACTTCTGTTTTCTGGGCTACTATTCTCACCACCATTTGAGACAGTATGAAAAATTAAATTGTCAGTTGTAAAGTAGAAACAACTGAATGGTACGACACTGCCAAATGGCTTTTAATTCAATCTTTGAGACTTTTAACTAATAATTACTGTCCCGTCTCCATTCACTCAGTGTTTACTCCTTTATATGTGAAGAAAGAAAGAGGTGAGAGGGAGGAAGGAAGGAAGGAAAGAAGTTAAGAAGGAAGGGGGAAGGAGAGTAGGAAGGAACAACCGAATACCAGAAGGAAGGAAGAGAGGGCAGGAATGAGGGAAGGAAGGAAAGGCAAGCTCCTACCAAACAAATCTATCCAAACAAAGGGTAGATGACTTCAAACACAACTCAGACCTAGAGCACAGTTTCCCTTACACCACAAGAACAGACAAGCACTACCAATCAGAGATAAGGCCCACCCTCCCAAGGCCGTAAGGTCACTTTAGAGCTACCTCTGCCTTCTCTTCTCTTTCCACTTAAGCAGCACTTCTCCTTCCTTCCTCAGTATAGTCAACTGGAATCTAGTTCTCAAATACCTAAGAGTTTTAACTGCAGGAGCTGGGACTCTTGTATATCTTGAGATGTACATATCTTTCCTCATCCGCAGTGTCGTTAATAGAAATGGGTAAGCATCCTAATAATCTACGGTCCAGAGATGGGAAAGAACTCCCTTGAAAAGTAGCAAGTTGCTACATACTAGCCATGTCCAAACAAAGACCAGGGGGAATTGCAGAAAGAATAAAGTAGGGATCTTTAAGTTCCTTTCCTGGTCCTGAGCTTGTTGCTACCCCAACACATAGACATAATTCCTAAGCACCACTCATGCAATGAGCTGTACTCAGGGTCATGTGGAATGTAACATAAAAGATACACTCCCAATCTTTGAAGGAGGAGTAATTTTTCTAAGCATTTGAGTTGTTCTCAAAGGTCAGATCATTTTCCTCATTAGGAAAACCAACAAGAAGGGGGAAAGAAAAAAACCCTAGGCTTCCCTGAATACAAGAAAAAGGACCTAGCACTCTCTTAAGGTCAAACTGATACCTCATCAGACACACAGATTTTGCTGTTTATCTTCATCTGCACAAACAGTCCCCACATGATAACCTGTCCAGGGTGGAGGGAATTATATGAGAATAAAGGCCTAGACCACATCTGAGTAATCAAAGCTTAAAATAAGCTCCACTTACAACACACTCTAATTTTCAAAAAACACTAAAGTCTTACAGAGAGATCTGATGATGTACGTATTAATGCTCCTTGGCTATTTCTCAGCCTGTGTGCCATAATCTGCTTGAACAATAAGTTGTTTTGCTCTATTGCCAGATTCTCAATCAAAGCTCAAGTTCTCAATCTGTGTCCTCCTTTCTCTACGATATTTCTTCACTCACTACTACCTTAACTTTCACTCCTGGAAAAAACCAATACTAAAACTAAATGAGAAAAGGATTTTCTAAATAGGCCAGGATGGATCTGGACAGGATGTAGGGCCAACAAGGATACTGTTCTCATGTCTGAATGGTTAGCCTAAGGATAACTACACTGCAGAAGAGTCTAGCATGTAGGCCGGTCAAGTATGCCTTGAAGAGATGTTGTTGCTGATTTTATATTTAGAAAGACCTCCCAAGAGCAGGCCAGGAAAAGTCCCTTGATGCCAAGCCAGTAGACAGAGTTTCCAGGAACACCAAATTATTAAAGTTCCCTTTCCCCAGATATGGAAACAAGCCCAAAATATAAGTTTCCTACTGCTTTGGAAATCACCCCTTGGGATAGAATGTTATTCTGCTTCCAAAAATCAATGGCTATTCACAAGCAGAGTAGCTGGAGAGACGAAACCCCCGTAGAGACGTCTCCCCACTGTCTCCCAAAAGAAAGAGTCCATCTTTCCTTCCCTGGGCAGATACACATGGTGCCTTCCAGGCCCCGCCCACAGGAACATGACTGCCTAGGCAGCGGGAGGGTGCCTACCTGTGTAGCCAGCCAGGGCAGCAGCAGGAATGACAGGCTTGTCCTTGTTGAGGTCAGCACGGTCCCGCACATAGTCCTTGAAGGTGCCCTTGGGCTTGTGGTTGGGAAGGGCAGCCGGATAGTCCTCTGAGTCGAAGCTGTCATAAGAGGGAACACGCTGCAGACTGTTGAAAGACGACTGGCTGCTCCAAGACTGGGTGAGGCGATCACAACTATCGTAGCTCTCTATGCTCTCAAAAGAGTCCTGGCCTCCGAGTTTACCTGGAGGTAAAGAGGAGGTTGGAAGAAGACAAGGGAGGAGGGGGTGGGGAAAAAACAACTGTAAAAACCCTCTTATGGAGGACAGATTGCGAATCAGATCTGCCTGAGAGATGGAAGAAGGAAGGGGCCAGTGGAATGGAAGCTCCGAGGTTCATAGGTTTTCCCTGGGAAAGGCGCTGCCCTGGACCCATCTCAGAACCCATTGCCACTCTGCTGCCTGCTTTTATAGTTACTAGTACAGAGATTCAGAGCCAAACACTGCTCACATCTGTCAGAGGACACAACAGTGTTAGGGGCCTCAAGAATTCTAAAGCCAGAAATCTAGAAACTGACAATCACACATGTCATTAAGGGATTTCTGGCTGATATAGTAGGCCCAATGAATAAATGAGGAAATCAGAGCAGTGTCAGACTGAATTCCCTATTCCAACTCAAGCCAATGTGATGATTTCAAAAGACTCAATTTGGCAGAATATTTTGGTCACAAGAAAAAAATTCCATTAGACTAAGAGCAGATTAGTCTTTTTTGACCTCGGAACTGAAGTGTTATTTTTAAGCATTTTTAAATGAAATATATGTACTGCCTCTATGCCTTCTCAAATAGAGTAAGAAGTTATGAAATGTTTTTTCAAGAGATTAAAAAAAAAACTATCACTCTTGTAAATAGAACACCATATTTCTTACTCTCTCCAAGTAACATTCTGTCCATGAAAATTTAACTTAATTGAGAATGTGTAGGCAATAAAAAAAAGAAGTTTATTAAGAGTTAAGGTCCACAGTAGTGTCAGAAATCCTTTACTCTCTGAGTTGCTTACGGCATTCTTAACTGACCACAAGATCATGCAAGTTCATTAATTTCCCAAACCAGGTTATAAACAGCTGCTATGATTACACAATAGCTCCTGGAGAAATTTCCATTGGCAAAAATGCCACTAAAAAGGAGGTTAACCAAAAAAAATGTTTTGGAGGAAAACAAATGCATCTAAGAGCTAAAAAGAATCACAGGAATGTTCTCCATATTCTACTTTTAGATATTTATCAGGTAATCTAAATTAAGTCATGGGAGACTAGATGGCCACCTCAATTCAGCACACGCCAAGAGGCAAAAGGATGTGAGAAATATCTATGCAGACATATCTGTAAAAACTCTCAAGTTCAAGTTCAGGGGTGGCTGATCTATAGATTTCAAATCCCAGGAAAAGGCTGGCTTATACAATCTCATATCAATGTGCTTCCAGTGAACAATAAAATTCAAACATAAGCAGGTGCCAGAACCAAAATTAAATATGTAGGAAAATATGTTGCTCTCAAAAACAAAAATCCAGATTAAATGTATTCAATCAAGCATGTGCTTTTCTGTACGATCCACTCTCCTAGATGTCTCTATTTCCTAACCCCTCCAGGACTGCCTTTTTTTTTTTTTTTTTTTTGAGTTGGAGTCTCACTCTGTCGCCCAGACTGGAGTGCAGTGGCCGCTCCCGGCCACCACAGCCTCGACCTGCTGGGCTCTGGCGATCCTTCCGCCTCAGCTTTCCAAGTAGCTGGAACTACAGGCGCGCGCTACCACACCCGGCTAATTTTTTGATTTATTGTAGAGATGAGGTCTCACCAAGTTGCCCAGGCGGGTCTCGAACTCACGGGCTCAGGCAATCCATTCACCTCTGCCTCCCAAAGGTGCGGGATTACAGACTGAGCCACCAAGCCCGGCCAGAACTGCTTTTAACCGAAAGTTGGTATTATCTCCTTCAACTCATTCCTTTCTTTACTCATCCTCTCGGAGGAGGGTAATCTCCAGAAGGCAAACTAAGAGCTTCATGGAGTTCTCAGCCCTGACTTCGCAGGCCACTCACTTCTTTATTATTATTAAAAACAAAGAAGTTGTCCCCTCCAGAAATTCACATTAAATGATTCAAAAACAGTATACAGCCAGAATACCATAGCCTCTTTTTAGCAGAATAGAAAATGTTGTGGCATCTCACAAAAAGGTGTTTGTTTATACCAGCTATTATACTTAATGGTCACTCATTCTCTTTGAGACAAATACATCAAAAGCCTAAAGAAAGAGAATTTATATTTGCATGAATACGACAGCAAATCAGAATTTATGCTTAAATCTCTCTGAAATGATTCCACCTCTATCAGCTACCTTTTATATTTGGAGGGCAAAGAGGTCAGAATTTCCACAAGCAAGATAGCTGAGTTTCCAAGGAGTCCCAATAAGCAAGGGTATTAAAGTATGCCATAACCATTCTCTGACAACCCCACAAATGTGAACCAAATGCAACCCTGTGGAGAGTTACGGTATATGGCAGCAAGTAGCTTTCATTTTAGCTCTATTTCACAACCCTGAAGCTGGAAACCTTCATTTTTGGGTATTTTCTCCATAAATGGGTAGAACCCAACTGGATTAGATACTGGGTTATGCTACTGTGCTCATGCAGGGAAGCATGCATCCTTTAAGATGTTCACTGTTTGGCCTTTCTCAGCATGCTCCGGCAAGATTCCTCCAAAGTTATCTTACTTCATAGAAAAGATCTCAGAGCACTCAAAACTACAGATGAGGCAGTCCTACAGCAACCTGCTTAACAGACTTGCACAAAGACAGCCCTTAGGATCCAAATAAGTGGCACATAGAAGCACTTTGTATACTAGAATGCAGCATATGAATAATTACTATTAATAACAACCAGCGAACAGTACTGCTTTCCATCTAGCCCATCTCAGAATCATCCCTCTCAGATTCACTTGGTTCCTGGCATATGTCCTGTTTGCAGCACTTCTAACACACATACAGCAGTCCTGCACAAAATGATCTTCTCTTCAAGTTTTTGTGGCCTGAACTTGGAGGGAGGGAAGAAAATTGGAGCCAGAAAGCAATACTTCATATCTCTTTGTGAGGGTCACTTTTGGCCAATAGTCATTAGTTTGGGGTTGGAGGGGTGGGGGACCAAAAACCAAGAACCAAGGAAAGGAGAAGGAGAAGGGACAATTACACAAAGCCAGACGCAATTTTAAAACAACGTGACAGTAGATCTACCCAAAGTTACAACATGGCTGAACCCAAACCACAGACTCAGTCTCACTGCATATATGTACAGAAAATCCCAGAAGGAAGAACTGTTCTAATGCTTTGACTTGCTTGATAAAAAAGAGACACACATACATACACTTGTGTGTATGTATTTAAATAGACACATACCCCAAAATAAAAAGTCAGAAAGGGGAAGCCTGACTGGTCTCGCCCATCCCCTTTGGTCTGAAATACTAACACCCTGGGGCCTTAAGATTACGGGTTCTGATTTTGCAGGGACTTTCCCTGTGCAAAGCTTGTTGATTACCCGTAGGCCTTCTGGGAGGAAGTGTGAGCCTGAATACTCGAAGAAGATGACAATGTGCACAGCCCATGATGCATACAGGTGATTCTTCAAAGTAAAGGTGCCTTTGGGCTCTCCCCCAAGAACCTCAGAATAAGAATCACATATGGTCAGTCACTGAGTAGAAATCACTAACAGGCTAATCCAAGCCTGACTTCTGTGACCAAGGGCTTCTGACTACCACTTGGATTAGCTTTCTCCTGTTTCTCTTCATGTTTGTAATTACTCTCTATCAACCAGAAAAGTAATCTTTTTCAACTTTTTATAAATTAGCTAGCTCTTGCTGGATGAACAAATCTCTCTTTACAATAGAGTGCACTTTTCTCAGAAATAAAACAATTTGGATCCTTTACAAGGTGAACTCTACCTCTGAGTGTTTATGTCCTGTTCCTAAAAATTGGGTATATTTTACCTTTTTTATTTATATCAGCCAGCTTTATTTTGAAACACTTACTTCACTGTCAGCGAATATTTTATCATTATTTTAACAGTCATGTTAACAAGAGTACCTTCTTTTGGAAGCCTCTGGCTACCTTTTTCCCTTATGCTCTAGTTAAATACACAGTTTCACCACACTGCTGATGACCAGTTCCAAGCAAACCATTGGTTAACCATCTTGTATCTTCCCAAACCAAAGAGGTCACAGAAGCCTAAAGATCCCAGGCCAGGTAGCAGAGGTCATTCCAGGTACCAAGCCAATCTATACTCTGACCCGGGAGTACTCTGGGAAGAACACCAGGACACATGCAAAACTTATGGGTCTTCCAGAATGATCGCAGGAACCATTTTTATTTAATTGTGTTCTCCTCAAGTAAAGTCCCCTCAAAGAAAATAAGTCATACCTTTAAAAATGACCAAATTCAATTAGAGTTACTATTTAGGTAAAAAAAAATAATTTTTTTTTACCCAAATAAGACATCTGATTGTTATACTGCCAGATTTGAATTCTATCATCGACCCCATGGTCTCTGTCAAATCATAATTGATTTGGCTAGCATACCACGCTGGAAAGTTTTTTGGTTTTTGAGTTGGAGTCTCACTCTGTCACCCAGGCTGGAGGGCAGTGGCACACTCACAGCCACCCCAGTATCAACCTGCTGGGCTCCAGCAATCCTTCCACCTCAGCCTTCCAAGTAGCCAGAACTACAGGCATGTGCTACCATGCCTGCCTAATTTTTGATTTGTTGTAGAGATGAGGTCTCGCCAAGTTGCCTGGGCTGGTCTCAAACCAGTGGGCTCAGGCAATCCACTTGCCTCAGCCTCCTAAAGTGCTGGATTACAGGCTGAGCCACCCACTAAGCTCGGCCTGAAAAGTTCTTAATACCTAGACATTCTAAGATGGGAAGGCTGAAACTGAGGAATCTACAGGTCTTTTAAGTGTGGGAAAAAAATGGAACCCGAAAAACTCAGAGTTAAGTGACTCTTGTAAACGTAAGAGCTTTCAGAGCAGAAATTGGACCTACCACGACTGGTCCTCCCCATGCACATGTTGTCTGGGGTTACAACTTCTTGTTTGATGGCAAAGTAGTCAGTCTGCAAGGTATCTGTCTGGAGAGGGTCTCGAAGAATGACTGAGGGGTAGTCGTTCTCATACTTGAGCGAGAGGAGTTCTTCTGAGCTGATGGGATGGAGTGTCTGGTAAGACTCCGTGATGAAGCTGGGCTCTGAGAACTCAGACGGAGGGACACACTGAGCATGCTCAATACCATAGCCTGGAAGCAGAATGTTTGCAATTGGAAAGAAGAGAGATTGGGATTTAAAACAAGCAGTTTTTCATCATCTACAGTGACCTCACAATGTGGAAGGAGCTGGCTACCTTAGACAATTAAAGGGAAACACTTTAAGTCAGAAGGACGTGGGTTTGTAACCTTGCTCCACTTCTCAGTAGTTATGGCCCTTGACATGACACTTCCCCTTTCTGACTTAATTTCCTCATCTGTAAAGTGAGGTTGATGGCAAACTTCCTCAAGGCATTGTGATGAACATCAAATGAGTCTATAGGTGAAATGCCTACTAACATTTCTGGCACACAACGAACTCTTAACACTGAATAGCTAATATTATTGTAGTATTGGGATAATAACTGTAATAAAGTAAACAGATAAAATGAAAAAGGAACATTCAGGATTCTCTTTGAAAGCAAAGTCAGTCGGGTGTGGTGGCTCAAGCCTATAATCCCAGCACTTTGGAAAGCCAAGGCAAGAGGATTGCCTGATCCCAGGCGTTTGAGATCAGCCTGGGCAACTTGGTGAGACCTTGTCTCTACAGTATATATTTTTTTAAAAATTAGCCAGGTGTGACAGTGCACACCTGTAGTTCTGGCTACTTGGAAGGCTGAGGTGGAAGGACTGCCTAAGCCCAGCAGGTCAACCCTGGGGTGGCCATGAGTGTGCCACTGCACTCGTCTGGGCGACAGAATGAGACTATGACTCAACAAAAAAAGAAAGAAAGAAAGCAAAGCCATCAGATACGATGATGGCCCTACATCTTAGAGCTTATATGAGTGCAACAGGCCTACACTAATTCTCTACCTCAGGCCCCTTTCCCAGTATGGCAGGGTATCCTATACTAAAAAGGAGAAAGTTTTATTTCCTGCACAGCACCCTCTTAAAGAAGGATTCCAGAGGAAATGTTATCATCTCCACTAGTTAAAAAAAGAACAAGGGCCAAGATCCAATTCCTAACCCAACCGTCTGATGGCCACCACAGTGCACAGGATCCAGTAAGATCAAAACTAAGGGGTCAGGTTGTATTCTCTCTACATAACTTTCATGTTGAAGATATCAGAGGGAGATCCTAGTGTGTAGGAACTTGCAGGTTAATAAAACATGTAAACAGGTTAAAACTTTGTGCTTCATAAGAAATAATAAATAACAAAGAAGAGAGATTTAAGGAAACATTATTTTTGATAGGATTATCACGAAGGAGCCTGAGATCGACTGAGACGGAGTCCTTTCCTAGTTTGCTATTACAATAAGCAAGGTGAGAAAAGAGGAGTGGAAGATGAACTTACTAATGAAGTAATCCGAGGTATAACGAGATTCTGGATAGGTAGGGTTGACTCCATTAACTTGATACGGTTTCACATCATCTGCAACAGATAGGATAGGGAATGAAACAAAGAGGTCAATATGCAAGTCGTGCTTGGCCTAGAAGGATCTTGGATGCAAGGACCACAATGATCTCAACCCCTTTTCTAAGAAATCTGCATGTTCATTAACTGTCTGCGTCTACCCTGACTTGGGCCTTATCTAGGGATGAGATCACAAAAACATGGCTATGTTTACTATTTCAGTAGCTGTGAAATGGGATTTAATGTCTTGGAAGGATAATTGGTGAGTAATCTCTAAGGGTTGGGAAAGTATTCAGCCTTCATTCTCAATACATTTATGTTGTATATGTGTGTACCACATTAGAGTCAAAGGCTTGAAGACATCCCAAAAGGTTCTCAGGATCAGTCCCCAACCCTCAAACTGATCAGTTCCAACACTATTCAGAAATATATTGCATTCTGTAAGCAGTAGAGTTTATACTCTCCAATTCCTCTGAAAACTATCTGGTTTTTGTTTTGTTTTCCCATTACCCTCAGATTTCAAATTCAGGTCCAGACAAGAAGCAGGACACTGGTAAGGTGACTCCAGTTGGTGAGACGCAACTAGGCTCATGTAAAAGGAGAGAACACAACCAAACTACTGCCCAGATGCCAAGTTCCCTAGGAAAGGGGAAGGAGCAGAGGTGAAGGGAGCAGAGGTGAAGGGTACCTAGGGACAGAACTGAACTACAGTGAGTCACCCTGGAATCAGTGTAGGCTCTGATTCTGGTATAAAGTAGTCGGATAATATTTCATTATAAGACCTAGACATAAAGAGAGTGTTGGCTTGGGTTTTTCCTCAGGTATTCGATAGCTTGTTGAGAGCAAAGTTTGATGGGAAAACAGGTTTACGCCTGCACAGAAAACAGTTCCCAGTTGAGATAAAATGATTAAACTTTGCTTTAGCAGTTTATCAGATTGAAACATCCCCTGCACCTTTGGCCTTCCACCCCACCCCAAACAGCTATGTTCTTTTGGTTCTGTGTTGCTTTAGTTTAGTTACAGAACAAAAGCTGTACCTCAGTATAAACATCTTGCTTATATCTTCAAGTGTCTGAATCTAAAGAGGGAAGATTCTTACTGCCTCTCTCAACAGAACATTGGCCAGGATAATATGATATGACTTTGGTTCTCAAACACAGTGAATTATATCTTGATTATCTTAAATTATTTCTTTGTAGTAAGGTAGGCTAAACCTATCTTAGAGGACAAAAGCTCCCCATGAGTCCATATTATTATGCAAAAACACAGGACAGAGAGTTAAATTTTAAAAGTAAAATTAAAATTATTTTTCAAGTTAAATAAAGTAAAGTTTAAGGAAATGAGTGATATTGAAGAAATCACCTAATCTGAGCCTCATTTTACAGGCAAAGAAAACAGTAGAACTTGCCCTTTCTATCTCACAGGGGTATTTTGATAATGCAAAGAGAAAATATATTTTAAAGTACTTTGGAAACAAAGAAACACTACAAAGATATTAATTATTATAACCATAATAGAAACAGGCTTAGACACCCCCAAAAACCTGGCAGTTCCACTGTTACAAATAGAGAGGAACATTCTCTCAGTAGAATATATCTGGATTAAACAGTCTGGTGGGATCTGCCATTGTGTTTAGAAGCCAGCAGCTAAATCAAATCCATTAGGAGCTGGCCATGTCTTCTCCCTCTATAAACAGGCCACTCGTGTCAACAACTATGAGTGGGCGTATGTGCAGTTACACAGAGAACAAGAGAGCATGCTGGTGTTTTAGGGAAGCCTGTGCAGCTGCCTGTCCCCAGTAACGGCAGCAACAGAAAGATTCACCTAGTTCTTTGCTGTGTTCATTTATTTATTACTTTCCAATAGAAGCTGAAGAGAAGGAACAAAGATGACACTTCTGAGCCCAGAGGAATCTAACTCGGGTCTCTCTTGAGCATTGCAGGGTAAAAAATATTCTTAAACAAAGGAAGGTATTATATGGAGTAAAAGTGCTAATCCTGAACTTTGCTCCCCTCCCCCAGTGTCTGCGCCAAGGGTTGGAGTGGTGACCACAGGGAAAGGGTGGGCCTGGGTTAGAGAGGGCAATGGGCTTCTAGGCTTACAGTCAGCTGGAGGGCACTGCTGACTGCTGGTAACTGCAATTTATTTTAAGAAGAAATTCAGAAAAATAAGCGCAAAAACACCCAAGTTTGCCGCCTGCTGCTGTCTCTGTACTCAGCCAGAACTGTGGTACATGAGTCACTTGGTCCAAAAAGGTTGGAAGAGGCTTGCAGGGGAGGCCATGTCATTACAAGGTTGCAACACAGCGTCCTGGTATAACCCCAGCTCCTGCTACAGATGTAAAAGGTATGCTTCACTACTGCAATCCAGTTAGCGGGCAGAGAAGCCTGTCTTACTAATATGCTCTGAGATGAGATGCTAAGCCTTCCTGTGGATGTGACCGGGTATTACATGGCAATAGATCAAGGGAGTGTGTATTAAGACTGCTGGAAAACAAAACAAAACAACAAAAACCTATTCTGGGTAGGCTGTGGGCACTGCTTGTTTAAACAGGGCACGGGTTTGAGATAAAAACCAGGATCAGAATGTTGTATACCAAGAAGCTTCAGGAGTACATCCTTGCTGAAAATTAAAATCTAAACCCCCAATACCTAGAAGAAAAGGAAACTAATACTTTTCCAAAAACTCCTGCCAGATGCTGGGTATCATACTAGACACATCCCCATAGACCATACATGCTGTGACAGGACACCCCAGATAAGGCATCAATGTCCCACCATTGGGGGAGTTCACAACAAACCCACACAACCTCCACCTCTCCCTGTTTCCACGTATTTACCTTTCTGCAGAATCTCTAGATGTTCCCATAAGATGTCCCCAACAAAGTCTGGAGCCAGCTCAAGAAAACAGTCTTTACCCAGGGCACAGAGAGCTGCTCCGTTCATACAGAACTTCTGGAAGTCCACACCCTTCAGGCTGAACTCATTCACAGCCCACATCACCCAATCCCGAACATGGGTTTCTGTCCACTGCCGGGGGTCTGCAGGGAGAGATCAATGAAGATCCAGCAGGTCAGGATCTTAACTATCACCAAGCATGAGAGAGGACACAAAAAGAACCTGGACTTAGCTGAGGATGCTATCCTATTCATAGAATTAGGAAGACACTGGCCTGCAAATACATATCATTGGGCACCTTCCAGAACCCTCCTCCTCCTCACATTCAACATTCCCTCTGGTTCTATTTCGCCAGCCTAGGAAATCACTATCATTGGCCAAAAGGTAACACATGAATATCTGCCCTCTACCCAGGCAAAGATTTTTATGAATCTCTCTCACTGCCTTATTCCCATTAGACTTTTTAAAAAAATCCTAGACAAGAGAACAAATGGCTTCTTTAAGAGCAATAATAACAAAGTAAAGAATTTTCTAGAGCTTGCACATGCCTCTCTCTGCTCTGAACTCTTATAATATACTTGAGACTATTATTCTCAATTATTTTTATCTTAGCCAATTATGTTTAGTAATAATCGTAGCAATTAGTAAGTCATTCAAATGGCACTTGGTAATAACAGCATTATTAGTTGCCTGTATTATGCCAAGTCTGTACATATGACAAGCCCTGCTTTGAGTAACACCATAGTACTACTTGCAATCTTCATATATAACCTGAGGTTTAACATGGCTGCACCTGCCCATGACTTTAAGGAGCACGGATCATGGCAGGTTGTAGTGTCCACATCACAGCTACTCCTGGGGTGCTCCCTTCAATCTAGCAGACTACTTCTTCAGACATTAGAACTGGCCTCAGCTAAAAACAGTAGTACTCCCACTCAATAGAAAATTGCTTGCCAGGCGCAATGGCTCATGCTTGCAATCCCAGCACTCTGGAAGGTGGAGGCGAGAGGATTGCCTGAGCCCAGGGGTTCGAGACCAGACTGGGCAACTTGGCAAGACTTCATCTCCACAATAAATCAAAAAATCAGCTGCACACAAAAAATGGTGTGCGGCTGTGGTTCCAGCTACTTGGAAGGTTGAGGTGGGAGGATCACCTGAGCCTAGCAGGTCGAGGTTACAGTGCATGCCACTGTACTTCAGCCTGGGCAAGAGTAAAACTACTCAAAAAAGAAAGAAAGAAAGACAATTGCTCTTTCTGCTTTTAATTGTTCATGAAATCTTCCTTGGTGAAGGCTTGCTCTAGTCAATTCCCCTTTCTGACAACTCTAGTCCCCTTATGTTCCCAAATAAACGCTTTCCAATAAGAACATACAAGGACAAACATATTTTGCCAAAGTACATGAAAAAGAAGAGAGCAACCAGTAAATTCCAAAAAAATGCAGCTCCCTGAGTTCATCTCGTGGTGACCCAGAGCAACTCTTCTAAGACAGCACTTCTCAAACTTGTCTGCAGGTTGGAATCACTGGAGAAGCTTCAAAAATACAGATGGCTCCAGCAATTAAGATTTAATTGAAAAAAAAAATTTAACTGTTCTTAAGCACGCCCTGGGCCGTGGAAGTTTTCAAAGATCCAGAGGTGATTCTAAAGTGCAGACAAGTCTGGGAACCACAGTCCTTAGCAAGATGGCGGTGACAGGCCTGGGAGTCAGAGAAGCCTCGGCATATGTATCTACAATTGTTGTAACAGATGTCAGCAACAATCCACAGCTGCCGCCTCAAGTGTGCTTAGTCTAATGTCTGCCTCACACCCTATGGGTGAGAAAACAACCTTCCCTGAGGATCTGCCCCCAGCTACAAAAACATACCAACTACAAAAATACAAAACATACCTTTAGGGATCCCCAGGCGTTGCTGCTCTTTAGTAAAACCACTGAAAGTAGCTTTTAATGCTTGAGACATCATTTCTTTGCTGCTTGGAGTTAATAGTGGGACATCTGCACATTCCATGTCTGTAAGAAAAAGTAGCAAATGAATAACAAAATATCACATAGGCAATCGACCACTCCTAAGACATCAGGGGCACATAGGCAATCGACCACTCCTAAAACATCCGGGGCACGGATGAGCTAAAAAAGGCAAGCTGAGTAACAACTGTGCTAACATCCTCACCGGAGTAGGTATAATTTAAGGAGTTTTCCCCATCATGCTAAGCCCCTTAAAAAAAATCCTAACTCTTATCTAAAATATCCTACATCACTGACAAACAAAATAGGTTTACTCTTCCTGTATACTTCTGTTATTTTACCCATAGTCCCTGTTTGTTTTTCACACTCATCGAGAATATTAATATTACCATATACCTTCAGTTGCCTGTAGAAAGAAAATGACAATATTCATCCATTCAACAAATAATTATTAAGCCCTTGCTATAAGCAAGGAATTAGAGAAACAGCAGTGAGCAAGACTGAAATGACCCCTACCCCTAAGGAGCTACGGTTCTTTCAGTGGATTCAGTCACTAAAAATCTATTTTACAATTAAGAGCTCGAAAACAATATCAATAAGGGCTGCAAAGGAGAAGTACCAGATGCAGTGTTATCATGTAACAGAAAGTCCTACAGGTCTGGAGGAATTAGGCAAGGCCTCTCTTAGAGAAGAGAGACATCTGACCCAAGATGTGAAGGACACACAGTTTAGGAAGGTAAGAACACCTTAGATCAGTAGCTCTCAAAGTGTGGTTCCCAAAACAGCTACGTCAGCATCAACTAAAAATTGTTAAAATGCAAATTCTCAGCCCCACTCCAGACCTACTGAATGAGAATCTCTGGAGGTAAAGTCCGGAAATCTGTGTTTTTAACACAGAGTACAGGTAATCTGATGATTATTAAAGTCAGAGGACCACATTCGTAGACAAAGGAAATAGCAAACATGAGGGTCAGAAGATGGCAGAAGGCAGGGGTTGACATATTTCAGTGTCAAAAAGATCAATTCAGCTGAAGCAGAGTGACCAAGGAGTTCAGCTAGTTAAGATGAAGTTGAAGAGGTAAGCAGGGACTATGTTAAGGAATTTTTCATTTTATCCTTAATAAAACAGACAGTCATTGAGCATTTTACACAGAGAAAGGACATAACCACATTTTGTTTTAAGAAGATCACCTTAGCTGTTCTGTAAAGAATGTTTTAGATGGTGAGTATGAATGGATGTGGACAGACTTGTTAGAAAGTTGTTGCATTAGTCCTGGTGAGAGGTGATGGTGGCTTTGTCTAAGAAGGTGCCAATGCACATAATATAAGTGAACAAATCTGAAGTGCTTATCAGAGGTAAAATCTATAAAACTTGAGGTACACAGGTGGTGAATAAAAGCAGGGTATTAAAGCCTGCAGATCTCCAAAGGTATCATCATTTGCTACACCGACGTGCACCTTTATCTCTGCTGTGCCTAGTAATTCCTCTACTTGCAGACCATGTTCACAGTGTAGATACATATATATGGCTGAAGTTTAACATCTTCTCAATTTACTTCAGGCAAATTTCACACAAAAATCTCAGAAGCAAAAAAATGAGCTGAGAATCCTTCCTAGCTTTCCTGTGACTTTTGGCAGTGATATACATCACTGAAATGGTTTCTAGTAGCCTCAATCTTCACGGCATCCTATGAAATTGACTTATAAAATGGCTAGGTTCCAGGCAAGGCTACTACAGAAGTTCCTCAACTAACCATTTCTAAACTCTAACTACTTAAAAAAAAATTCCCTGGAAATACAAAATGTGTTCTTGGCTGAAGAAAAAAGAAACACATAAAGGAAAAAATGACAATTGGTAACCTCCGAGGAAAGGAGCTAATATATTGCCTCTGAGTGTTAAAATGAATGGAAATTACACTGCACAAAAGAAGAACAGGCAGTACTTTCCCTCTTCTTTGCTTTTAGTGATGCTGTCAGGAAACTGCTAGAGCCCAGGCTCTGCCCTGAAAGAACAGAAGGGCTCCCTAGCTGTTCTCCCAGGCCCTGCCAATGACAGGGAATCTGAAGGTCCAGGGAGTGGTAAGTCTGGGTTGCCCCGGGACATGCCCTCCTCCCTCCCAAAAAAAAAAAAAAAAAACCAGTGGAAAAATCAACATGTCTCCAGGAAGGTTGACAAAATTATGGAAAATCCCAGATTGTTAGAAGAGTTGGGGGAGGGGTTAGAATGTTGATTACATAACATCAAGCTAGTCAAACAATGGAGTAATCATCAAATGAGTCACAAAGAAGCACATAGCTGCTCCCCCTTCGTCCTCACTCTACACGTCCAAGAACAGCTAAGCGGCAGGTCCAGAAATGTCTTCTTTTAGAGAAATCTATTTTACTACAGAGAAAGGGACTCTTTAGTTAACCAGAAAGCATTGCTTCTGATAGATGGGACAGCAGTTGAAGGCCCAGCTCTTAGCACAGGGTTAAACACACAAGTCAATCAGTAATGTTGAGTGAATTAACTTTTTCCAAATTTGAATCAACTTTCCTCCTTTCACTCCCATCCAACACAAATTCATGAACTTGAACTGTGTGGGTTTTGTTTTGTGTGTTTGTTCCCTCCTTTAGATTTATGACTCATTGAAAAGACTTTACTGATGGCGGAAATTAGCCAGGATAACACATGTGGAAAATACAGGCCAGGCCAAATGGACAAGCAATGGTTCTGCAGCAATTGGAACTGAAGGATGAGACTGGGTAGGAGTCCCAGGCATTTTCTCTGCATGAAAGCTGGGCAGTGTGATGCCATTGTGATATGAAAGCCCAGGATGACAGGAGAAAGCCTGAGAAAGAAGCTTCCCCGAGTCTGCTTTCAATAACTCCATGTGCTCTGGCAGTATGGTCTGGACAGGACTGCTGATCTGGCAATCCTCCACATAGGTTTCTGTCTCCTGTTGGAGGGGGCGACATTTCCAGGTTCTCACTTATTCTCTCCCAGGAAAGCAGTTAGAATTACTTTTGCCTTTCCACTTCAATGTCATCTCCAAAAGCCCAGTCCACATGCCTTTGGCTACAGTTGCACAGGGGCCCCATTGGCAGTGCCTGGCCCTGTCCTCTGGCTGTGGAAGTCAAGCAATGGAGCTCTTGAAAAGGAACTCAAGCCCAGCTGGGGAAACCATCTCTGCAGACTTGAGATACCTGCATTCGGACGTGATGCATTCCAGAGAAGTTCCATCATTGTCCTTGGACCTAAAAGATTCAGTTGGGAAAGGGAGAGCTTTACCCATGTTTATAAAGTGTGGGATTGTGGTTAAAAAATAAAAATCAATTCCCCTCTGTAAGTAAGTGAATGATTGGCAGGAATTGTCTTTTTCAGTGATGTGAGCACTGTACTTAAATGATGATGAATAATCGTGTTCAAAAGTAGATATTAAAAGAAAATATTAAATTCATCATAGAAAAATACTAATGCAAAAATTCTGTGTTGCTTTCTTATGATTGTAGCAGTTCTGTTAATTACACTGATCAACAGCAATAGTGAAATCATTACAAAGGTGGAGAATATGATGTGGCTTAGCCCAAGCAGACATCTGTTATTCTTAAAATACTTCATTAACTATTATAACACTTTTACATTAGGTATCAAATATTTCTAATGTTATGATCACCATCTAGAAATTAATCAATACCTCTATAGATAATGTTATTTTATGGAAAAACACTGAAATTCCCTTGTGTTAGCAATTACTTACTAACTCTTAAATTCAAATACCATGTTTGTCTCAAAATGCTGAGAACCTGACCCAGAAAAATACTGCGCCAATACAGTGGAGATGCTAAACACACTGCATGGCACACTGAAGACATAACTATATTACAATTTAGTTGATTTCTTACCCACTGATTATTCCTCAGACCCCTAAATTCCAGTTAACATTTATACGAATTACCCTCGATTTCTGAGAGGAAAGTGGTTCAGAAGCTAGTGAATAAATAACCATCCCAAGATTGTGCAGTATTGAAGCAGAAGTGAGCAGGTAGCTTTCCTTGAATCAGCAGGGGCATAATAAGCCCGTTGCATTTTGAATGCAAGGAAACATCTGCTCATTTTTCATTGTGGCCAACCCTGAACCACCTCATAGATGTTTCAAGTGAAATGTAAAACAAGGGTTTCCATTTACTTATATGTAACTCAAAGTTAAGGGTTGTTCAGTTTCCAAGAACCCTTCAAGAGTGTTTCATGTGTCTTTTCACACCATTCTCTTCAGTTCTTTGAAACCAAATGGCTCATACCAACAATGTTACACAGAATCTAAACTTGAGATGGCTTTTGTTCAGCAAGAAGTTCAAGACATCTGGCTTTACTGACCTCACAAATTTATTCTCTTATGATTCTCAATAAGTGATCAAGGGAAGATTGAAGCATCTGGGATCCTAGAATTAGAAGGTGAGGGATTTTGCCAAGGACAAAAAATCCAATGTGTGTCCCAGTTTTGTGTGACCACTGGATTGGGCCACACCCTAGCAGATTACAATGATACCAGCCACATGTGTTGGGTACTATCACACTCAACAGCAGCATGAGAGAAATATCAAGGATATGCCTTAAATCTGAAACTTTTTTTTACAGTTTGCCAAGACCCTTCACATATACTATTCCACAATATCCTCACAAAACTTCCAAGAGGCCTGGAAAAGTATCACAGGGTCCCCATTTTGCAGATGAGGACACCAAGACCCTGACAGATCAAGAGCTTGGCCTCAAGTCACAAGGCCAGGAGAAACCAGACAGGGTTGGAAGTCAGGCAACTCTTAAAATCCAAGGTCTTTCTACTCTATTTCACTGCAAATAGGAATTAATTGGAGATCTGAGAAAACTAAAATTTTCAGAGCTAAGAGAAAACAGGACTTTTTATTTCTTACTTTAAAAATCAGATCAATTTGAGGAAATGATTAAAAACCTGAAACTATTCCAAGAAACCCAGAGTTTCATATGGTAGCACCATAAGGACATAATTAACAGCCATTTACAGAATTGACAATAATCTTTTCCTTTC